ATTCGGGGAGTTGAAGTCCACGCATCTTAAAGTTGCCAAGGTTGAGAAACACTGCATTAGGCCATCACCTTAAGCCAGAATACAGTTTATTTCAACATGCTATGTTAAATGAACGCAGCTGTTTGGTTATTCTCTTGTGCAACCCAGATCCTAGTTGGCTTTGCATGACATACCAAACCAGCTCTATTTGAATAATGTGCAGAAAATGGAAAATGTGTTTTTCATGCATAAGGCAAATACTTTGTGGGTCATCTGGATGAACCAAAAGCAGGAGCAGTTTTAGTGGGTTTAGGTTTTGGCTGGAGGTCTAGAATGAGTAGGACAAGGCTGGTTAGAATTAGTCCTCTCTTCTGCATGGCCTGTGCACCAGTCACATTTAGACCTCTTTTGGGAGGCTAGAGAGATGCTGAAAAATAAATATAAGTGCAAAGCCCTTCGCTTAGGAAACACACATCAGATGCACAGGTTTAAGATGGGGATTGTCTGACCTGGGAAAGATCCAGGAATAGTATTTGACTGCAGCCATGTGATGCAGATGCAAAAAAGGCGAATGCAGTTTTGGCTACAATAGTAAAAGTGTGTGCACAGCATGAGAATGAATAGTTCCACTTTATTCTGGGTTGGTCACTCCACCTTGAGTACTGAATCCAGGTCTGGGCACCGCACTTTAAAAAGGATTCAAAGAAATGGGAACAAATTCAGAGAATGGCAACGAAGAACAGAAAATACGCAAACCTTCGGCCGAAAGATAGAAGGCGCCAGAGGCCTTCAGCAACGGAAAGCGGGGCTCAAGATTGCCCTCTTCAAATCCTTGAAAGGATTTCATGCCTGGAGACTGGCATTTCCACAGTTCCAAGGTGTAGCAGATCTGATTCCAATTGGATGTCAGGAAAAAAACTCCCCAACAGGAGAGTTTGTTAGTGGAACCAATAATTGATGTGTTCAAGCAGAGCCCGGATCAGCCTCTGGGATCCCTTCATTTCGATTCCTGCTCTGGGTGAGATGTTCAACCCGGGGGCCCAAATGGTACCTCCCAGGTCTAGGAGTCTGCAATTCTAAACCATAACGCGAGCGTGCAAAATGTTCCGTGCATGGAACAGCTGTTTTGGGCAGTTTTTTGGGGGGGGGTTGACCTCAAACGCATCACTGTGCTCCAGGCAAGGACTGAAATGCACGTTCGGGGCCAACGTGCCCTGGAGTGGGAGCAAAGGTTGGCAGCAGGAATGCAGGAAAGGAAAAGACTGGGAAGATCGGGGAAAAGGGGGTGAGTCAAATAGGTTGCCCGGCTTGAATTCAAGCACCATCGGGGCTATGGGGAAGGGGGTGTCAGGCCCAGGGAAGGTCAGCAGGTGGTGAAGGAAGATAGAAGAGAGGGGCAATCTCATAGCCTTGTCCTACTTGCCCCATGATGCCCTCCCAGCCAAAACCCAGAATAACCAAAACGTTGGGATGCGTGCCACCATGAAATTCCTCCTTATTACGGGTTTGGATCTCTCTCTCTTTTTAAAGCAGTGTTTTTCAACCTTGGCGACTCTAAGGTGGGGGGCCTTCAACTCCCAGAGTTCCCAGAATCTCCCTCCCTCTGGGAGAATTCTGGGAGTGGAAGTCCCCTGTCTTAAAGTTGCCAAGGTTGAGAAACACTGTCTAAAGCAGTGTTTCTCGACCGTGGCAGCTTTAAGATGGGGGGACTACAATTCCCAGAATTCCCCAGCCAGCATGTTGACCTCCCCACATCTTAAAGCTGCCAAGGTTGAGGAGCGCTGCAGTCTAAAGCTTGCTGGTTCTTGTCTTACTCTTGGTGCTATAGAACAGGGTTCCTCAACCCTGCTATAGAGAATAAATCCACACCCTCTGCTCTATCGCAGAAGACTGCTTCCCTGTCTCCCTTCGGCCTTCTCTTGTCTGGGCTAAACAGACCCAGTTCCTTCCATCGTTCTTCAGAGGGTGGAGCCTCCAAGCCCCTCACCATCTTTGTGGCTCTCCCCCGCACTCTTCCTGGTTCCTCCTCCTGCTTATATTGTGGTGACCACAACTGGACACACTTTTCCAGGCGGAAACCATACTTTCCCATGATCCTGACGCTCTACCTCTGTTGACGCAGCCCATAACTGCACTTGCCTTTTTGGCTGCTGGCTGAGGCTTCATCCGTGGTCCATCAAAACACCCAGGTCCTCCTCACAAGTAACGCTACATCGCTTTCTTTTGCCCTCCTCCTCCTCCTCCCTTCTTGCTGGAAAGGTTGGCCACTTTTTCTTTTTAAATTCCCTCCTTCAGGAATTCCCACCCTTAGGAGCGTCTTTTCCTGCAAGCTTCTTCCACCTTTGTGGGATCTGGCTGAACTGATTAAAATCCACTTTTTTGAGTTCCAAGGCCCACATTCAACTACCCTCCACTTCCCTTAAAATCAAGACCGCTTCCCCCCACTGTATCCGCTACCGCTCAATTAAATATCAAACTTGGTTAGCTTTAAACTTGGATAAATTTGCTGTGGGGAAGGAAGGTTTATCAACCCGGCATTGTGGGTTAATGATGGTTTAATGCAGTGTGCAAAGTGCAGAAAATGGATTCAGTGATCCGCTCAATAAATGTGGGGTGGTCAGAGCGGTCAAGGTGGCAGCTGGCTGGCTGTGCTGGCTGAAGCTGATGGGAGTTGTAGTCTAGCCATTATTGAATTAGCAGGGAATGGGAGGACTTAGATTCATTATCCCTTCCTCAGTGTTTGCTCCCCCCATCACAGTCATGTTGGATTATAGTGGCCATCGTCCCCAGCCAGGCTTGCCAATGATCAGCGATGTTGGAGTTGTAGTCCTACAAGGGATGGGCCAAATTGTTCAGGCAGTCGCTCAGTGGTTTTATTCTGCCATCTGCCTTGTGGGGGGTGGGTTGGCCTTCAGCTTCCCCCCTGCGGTGCTGGCTGGGGAGGATGGATCTTGAAGTTCAACACTTCATCTTTGGAAAGGCTGCGTCCAGGAGAGCCACGAACCTTCTTTCGGTGAAGCCAGTGGCTGGAGGTTTGGGGCGAGGATCTGCCCAGCCAACCTCACAGGATGGTTGGTGGACTTGGGCTGGGGAGCCCGGGGTTTAAG